CCTCCCTCGCCCCTTGCCCCCTCCCTCGCCCCTTGCCCCCTCCCTCGCCCCTTGCCCTCCTCCCTCACCCCCTTGCCCTCCTCCCTCGCCCGTTGCCCTTCTCCCTTGCCCCTTGCCCTCCTTGCTCACCCCTTGCCCTTCTCCCTCGCCCTCTTGCCCTCCTCCCTCGCCCCCTTGCCCTCCTCCCTCGCCCTCCTCCCTCCTCCCTCGCCCGTTGCCCTCCTCCCCCGCCCTTGCCCTCCTCCCTCGCCCGTCGCCCTCCTCCCTTGCCTGTTGCCCTCCTCCCTCGCCCGTTGCCCTCCTCCCTCGTCCGTTGCCCTTCTCCCTCGCCCCTTGCCCTCCTTCCTCACCCCTTGCCCTTCTCCCTCGCCCCCTTGCCCTCCTCCGTCGCCCCCTTGCCCTCCTCCCTCGCCCATTGCCCTCCTCCCTCGCCCCTTGCCCTCCTCCCTCGCCCCTTGTCCTCCTCCCTCGCCCCCTTGGCCTCTTCCCTCGCCCCTCGCCCTCCTCCCTCGCCCACTTGCCCCCTCCCTTGCCCCTTGCCCCCTCCCTTGCCCTTTGCCCCTCCCTCACCCCTTGCACCCCCTTCCTCGCGCCCTTGACCCCGTACCAACCATCTAGCTGGAACACTGGAGAACTCAAGTTCTCTGTGTGTTCTGTGCTGTAGCGAGTGCTATGTGAATGTGCCCTTTGAATGTGTCTTGTGCGGGTTGCTTGTGTTGGTTGTGAACCGCAGCGTTCTGGCGAAGCTTGGAGAATGCTGTGACATGCAGGTAGGGTCTTGACGCATTCCTGGAGACTGGCGGCGGGAAGGGCGGTGTAGTGTGTAGTATTTGTCGGCGTATTGCCTCCCTCCGTACTCTCTCTCTCTCTCTCTCTCTCTCTCTCTCTCTCTCTCTCTCTCTCTCATCTGTATTATAATATGCGCATGCTCGTTGTAAATAAAATCAGGCCTTGTCTTGTCCCACACTGGACTCCTACATGGCTTGCGGGCCGAACACAACAGGTGGGGCGAAGATAGAGAATGTAGGGGAAGAGGGGAAGAGGGGAGCGCAGGAGGGAGTTCGGAAAGGAGAGGGTGAGAGGGAGATGGATGGAGGGGGGGGGGGGAGAGAGCTAGAGAGCCCGATGTGCAGGACATGACGGCACCGGTTACTACAGTAGTACCATTTCACCGTGTGTGTTTCATCGTGATTAATCATTTGAATTAGTTCCACCCTGATCTGGGTTAGTTTCTTCCTGATTTGGGTTAGTTTCATCCTGATCTGGGTTAGTTTCACCCTGATTCGGGTTAGTTTCACCCTGATCTGGGTTAGTTTCACCCTTATTTGGGTTAGTTTCTCCATGATTTGGGTTAGTTTCATCCTGGTTTTGGTTAGTTTCATCCTGATTTGGGTTAGTTTCACCCTGATTCGGGTTAGTTTCACTCTGATCCGGGTTAGTTTCACCCTGATTTGGGTTAGTTTCACCCTGATTTGGGTCAGTTTCACCCTGATCTGGGTTAGTTAGTAATACCAAGAGTAGATAAACAAGAGTGTGCAACTCCACATCTCTTCTGCAGAAAGTGCAGACACCTTGGCCCACGACGTAATTTTTTTTGATGTCACCTTTTTCAGAAAACACGCGCATTTTGCTGCAGAACAGTGTGAGAGCATGTGCTGGGCACCGACCTTGTGACGTAAAGCCCGGCCAAGTGCACGAGGCAAAACTTCCCAAAAGACTCGCGGCGCGTGCGTCGTACGGTACGACTCATGATTTCCAGAAAAGACGACGTCAACTAAATATTCCGCCGTGGGCGAACCCATCCGAGAGTTGCACACTCTTGTTTATCTACTCTTGGTTACACTGTACTCTGATTAGTTTCACAATGATTAGGACTAGTTCAGGCAGATATATGTTCAGGGAATAATTTACTTTCAACCTTTTGCATAGCAATTTTGCTACACAATAAGTTCAATAACAAACTTGAATAGCAATTTTCTTCAACACTTGACAACATTGTCATTCTGGAGAGCTAATCAGAGGGCAAACTCAGAATGCAAGTATGAGAGCGGGCAGTGGTCTGTGACAAGTACGTGCACTGTAACGCCTTAGTTCCAAACCTAGCCTGGTGCCAGGATGCATAGTTCAGCCTTTCGAAGCAAGTTTCGTGCATCTATTTCATCCCTAAGAGACACACCCTGCATGCACACTGTGCATCATAGGGTACAGTGAAAAAATCAACGTGCATCGCAGTTTTCTGCGACACATATCTGAAGTTGCTTCGCACCTACAAAAAGAAGAATTGCGTAGCAAACTGCGATGTGATACCGGTTAAATTATTCCGTGGTGTTCATACAAAGCAAACATTAATGAATTTAGTCTCAAGGGGTCCATCCACCCTCTCAACGGGTCCATCCACCCTCTCAACGGGTCCATCCACCCTCTCAACGGGTTCATGCACCCTCTCAACGGGTCCATGCACCCTCTCAACAGGTCAACACACCCTCTCAACGGGTCCATACACCCTCTCAACCAGGTCCACACACACCCTCTCGACCAGGTCCACACGCCCTCTCAACCAGGTCCATAATACCCTCTCAACCAGGTCCATAATAGTGATACTACCCTCTCAACCAGGTCCACACGCCCTTTGAACCAGGTCTGTGATACCCCTCAACCAGGTCTATACACTCTCTCAACCAGGTCAACACACCCTCATTATCATTATCATTGGGCTGAGACATATGCAAAGCGGCATTTTGCCCACTGCCTTGGTCCAGTCAGGTGTGTGTGTGTGTGTGTGTGTGTGTGTGTGTGTGTGCGCGCGTGTGTGTGTGTGCGTGTGTGCGTGTGTGCGCGCGCGTGTGTGTGTGTGTGTGTGTGTGTGTGTATGCAGAGCAATGTCGACATGCCAGTTTGTATTCTATAGCAAGGGACACCTTCTGAAGGTGCTGCGCAGTGTAAGTATTAAGCCTGATTCATACTTCATCTTGCGTACGGGAAACCCATCGCGCGACTGTCACGCGATGGATTTCCCGTACGCGAAATAGTTGCGCTCAGATCAACTTTTTCGCGATGCGACGCGTTTCCCGTACGCGACATGAAGTATGAATCGGCCTTTAAGCAGTGTAGTGTGGTATAGTATAGCATTATGCAGTGTGCGCACGTCTGCGGTACAACCGGCTATACAATTGTATTGAGAAACACAACCAGCTTAGGAAGTTTCGCTTGTGCCAGGCCACCACCAGGCCTGTGCTTGTGGTTGCTTGAAAGGATGAAAAGCGCAATTTCTAAGGCCCTCTAATGAAATAGATTCGCCTCCTCGTTGTGTTTCAAGTTGTGTCTTGCTGGATAGTGGAAGTGTGGGCGTGCGTAGCAGGCGCGTGCGCCGGTGCCTTTCAAGGGGGGGGGGGGGGGTTCCGGGGGCCTCTCCCGGGAAAAATTTCAAAAAATGAAGCAAAATCTTGCATTTTGAGCGAAAAAAGGGGGGGGGTTCCGGGCACCCAGGAACCCATACGGGGCACACGCCTGCGTAGCCATGGCCACTGCAGTGCTGCTCACTGTGATCCAATCAAGCGAGTGAATGTCACACTGGGTCCTGTATTCTGCACCAGACCTGTCAACACTGGGTTGGTGAACTTGTACTGGTGCAAGGCGCTACCGTAAAACCGGAAAATTTCGGTGGAGATTTAGCTTCGGTAACTTCCGTACAGGTAATCTATAAAACGCGACCCAAAATTCAACACAGTGTGCAAAATGCATTTTGGATCAGGAAAACTGGTTTACCGAAATTTTCGCGCTACCGAACCGTTTGTTTTTTGAGAAAATGCCGAAAATATTACACCACCGAAAATTCCCGGGTTAGGGCCTGGTCAGACTGCAGCAAATTTTGGTTGCCTGACGAAAACAGAAAAGAGTCTAGAATTGGAATCGCGATCACACTACACATGTGGGGAGAATGAAAATTCAAACTTCATTTCAAGCGTCAAGTGGTAATCTCCACGAACGACGTCAAATTCCTTCACCTTGGGGATCACCAACACCTTCAGTACAATCCTGGCAACCATCCTTATGAGTTTTGTTGTTGTCCGTGGCCAATTAGTTCCTCGATGTCGAGATGAAATAATAAGTGATTATCAGCGTCAATGGCGTATCAGCGTCAAACTCCTGTTGGAGCGGAAAAGCGTGGTCCGTTCTTGCTTTTTTTTGGAGCGTCAACTCTCGCTTTTGCCGCTCTGGCGGCAAGTTACTATGGAGATTCGGATTATAATCCTAGGATTATTTCGATTTTGCCGCAATCTGACCAGGCCCTAACACAGTAACTTGACTCACGCGACCGGATTTCATTGCGCAGTGCTGTAGAATGGATGCGTCCAGTTGTACAAACTTCCCAGTAACACTGCTCGGAAAGGTTAGGGCGAGGGAGCGGTGTGAGTTTTTCTTTTCTTTTCGTATTATAGTATTTTGTTCGTTCGCCCTCTCTTCTCCTTTGTTTTCTGTGTGTAGATGAAGGGTGAGGATGCTGAGTATGGCAAGGCACACTTCAAGTCCCTAGTCGAGTCATGGGATGTGTTGCACAGGAACATCCCGGACGACATTCGCCAACAGTACCCACTGGGCTACAACCAGGACGTAAGAATTGCTTGTGCATGGGTTGTGCATGGGTTGTGCATGGGCTGTGCATGGGTTGTGCATGGGTTGTGCATGGGTTGTGCATGCATGCAATCCGTCCAGCCTTGCCACCATTCCGAAGCAGGACGGACGCCCATATATCATAAAACCAGCATATTGTTCAGTGACCAAAATGTCCTCGTCGTGCACGGTAAATCGGATTTGTTATTAATCCAGCACCCTCCCCAATCCAGCAGGATTTCCTAGCACAAGCGGCGCAGGATTATACAGGGTCCCTGTATAATCCTGCGCCGCTTGTGCTAGGAAATCCTGCTGGATTGGGGAGGGTGCTGGATTAATAAAAAATCCGATTTACCGTGCACGACGAGGACATTTTGGTCACTGAACAATATGCTAGTTTTTGGAGAGTGCTGTTTATAACGTGCTGGATCAAAGAGAGACGACTGTATATCTATTTTTATTGTTGGGTGCATTTACACGCAGATCCTGGAGTATCGTCTTCTGCAAATCCCAGCATTCAGCAAGCTGCGCAAGGCCGATCTCTACAAGCTGAGCCTGTCAATGGTCGTGCGCAAGTTTACAAAACAGCAGAACATAGTTCAGGACGATTCTGGTGAGTCTCGTCTTCATCGTTGCTGTCAAATAACTTATTGTCTTCCTGTGTGATGGTAATTTTTGTCTGCATGTCTCTTTTCATCTTGGCCCGCGCGTGCACATGTGGACATGTGTATGTGTGTGTGTGTGTGTGTGTGTGTGTGTGTGTGTACGTTTGTGTTTATGCGATATGAATGCTGAGCAGAGCTAGCCTGCGTGATCGTGTCTGGCAAAGCTCGACTCGTCCTGCCCAGTGGTCAAAATGAACCGGACCTGAGAGCTGGAGACTGGATGTGTAAGATATCTCACTGCTGCCAGTACCAAGGTGTATTTGTTGCCATCATTGTTATCCATGCTGATCACCTTGAGGAGTCAAACAGTATTATGAAAACAAGCACTTGCTTCTTGGACGGATGATTAGCGAACAACATCATTGAATGATGAATTGTACGAGTCGTGCAGGGTTAAACAATTAGTACCGGACCTACATGTGTTGGGGGAGGGGGGGGGGGGGGGCAGGGCATGGAGTCGTGCGTATTACGGGGTAGTGCGGGGTAGTGCGGGGTAGTACGGGGTAGTGCGGGGTAGTGCGGGGTAGTGCAAGGTCAAGTACGGCTTTTACTAGTGCATGGCAACAGGCAGGGGCTGTTGTTGTTTGTTTATTTAGAGTCGAAGAACAAACAGGCACACTTGCCTAATTAGTCACTGAGAGCCAGGGATGCGACGCAATGATATCGACTAAAAAGGAAAATAAAGTATAAAAAGCCAATGAAGGTAATGACACTGAGTAGAGTGGGTAATGATACTGAGTAGAGTGGGTAATGATACTGAGTAGAGTGGGTAATGATACTGAGTAGAGTGGGTAATGATACTGAGTAGAGTGGGTAATGATACTGAGTAGAGTGGGTAATGATACTGAGTAGAGTGGGTAATGATACTGAGTAGAGTGGGTAATGATACTGAGTAGAGTGGGTAATGATACTGAGTAGAGTGGGTAATGATACTGAGTAGAGTGGGTAATGATACTGAGTAGAGTGGGTAATGATACTGAGTAGAGTGGGTAATGATACTGAGTAGAGTGGGTAATGATACTGAGTAGAGTGGGTAATGATACTGAGTAGAGTGGGTAATGATACTGAGTAGAGTGGGTAATGATACTGAGTAGAGTGGGTAATGATACTGAGTAGAGTGGGTAATGATACTGAGTAGAGTGGGTAATGATACTGAGTAGAGTGGGTAATGATACTGAGTAGAGTGGGTAATGATACTGAGTAGAGTGGGTAATGATACTGAGTAGAGTGGGTAATGATACTGAGTAGAGTGGGTAATGATACTGAGTAGAGTGGGTAATGATACTGAGTAGAGTGGGTAATGATACTGAGTAGAGTGGGTAATGATACTGAGTAGAGTGGGTAATGATACTGAGTAGAGTGGGTAATGATACTGAGTAGAGTGGGTAATGATACTGAGTAGAGTGGGTAATGATACTGAGTAGAGTGGGTAATGATACTGAGTAGAGTGGGTAATGATACTGAGTAGAGTGGGTAATGACACTGAGTAGAGTGGGTAATGATACTGAGTAGAGTGGGTAATGATACTGAGTAGAGTGGGTAATGATACTGAGTAGAGTGGGTAATGATACTGAGTAGAGTGGGTAATGATACTGAGTAGAGTGGGTAATGATACTGAGTAGAGTGGGTAATGATACTGAGTAGAGTGGGTAATGATACTGAGTAGAGTGGGTAATGATACTGAGTAGAGTGGGTAATGATACTGAGTAGAGTGGGTAATGATACTGAGTAGAGTGGGTAATGATACTGAGTAGAGTGGGTAATGATACTGAGTAGAGTGGGTAATGATACTGAGTAGAGTGGGTAATGATACTGAGTAGAGTGGGTAATGACACTGAGTAGAGTGGGTAATGATACTGAGTAGAGTGGGTAATGATACTGAGTAGAGTGGGTAATGATACTGAGTAGAGTGGGTAATGATACTGAGTAGAGTGGGTAATGATACTGAGTAGAGTGGGTAATGATACTGAGTAGAGTGGGTAATGATACTGAGTAGAGTGGGTAATGATACTGAGTAGAGTGGGTAATGATACTGAGTAGAGTGGGTAATGACACTGAGTAGAGTGGGTAATGATACTGAGTAGAGTGGGTAATGATACTGAGTAGAGTGGGTAATGATACTGAGTAGAGTGGGTAATGATACTGAGTAGAGTGGGTAATGATACTGAGTAGAGTGGGTAATGACACTGAGTAGAGTGGGTAATGATACTGAGTAGAGTGGGTAATGATACTGAGTAGAGTGGGTAATGATACTGAGTAGAGTGGGTAATGATACTGAGTAGAGTGGGTAATGATACTGAGTAGAGTGGGTAATGATACTGAGTAGAGTGGGTAATGATACTGAGTAGAGTGGGTAATGATACTGAGTAGAGTGGGTAATGATACTGAGTAGAGTGGGTAATGATACTGAGTAGAGTGGGTAATGATACTGAGTAGAGTGGGTAATGATACTGAGTAGAGTGGGTAATGATACTGAGTAGAGTGGGTAATGATACTGAGTAGAGTGGGTAATGATACTGAGTAGAGTGGGTAATGATACTGAGTAGAGTGGGTAATGATACTGAGTAGAGTGGGTAATGATACTGAGTAGAGTGGGTAATGACACTGAGTAGAGTGGGTAATGATACTGAGTAGAGTGGGTAATGATACTGAGTAGAGTGGGTAATGATACTGAGTAGAGTGGGTAATGATACTGAGTAGAGTGGGTAATGATACTGAGTAGAGTGGGTAATGATACTGAGTAGAGTGGGTAATGATACTGAGTAGAGTGGGTAATGATACTGAGTAGAGTGGGTAATGATACTGAGTAGAGTGGGTAATGACACTGAGTAGAGTGGGTAATGATACTGAGTAGAGTGGGTAATGATACTGAGTAGAGTGGGTAATGATACTGAGTAGAGTGGGTAATGATACTGAGTAGAGTGGGTAATGATACTGAGTAGAGTGGGTAATGACACTGAGTAGAGTGGGTAATGATACTGAGTAGAGTGGGTAATGATACTGAGTAGAGTGGGTAATGATACTGAGTAGAGTGGGTAATGATACTGAGTAGAGTGGGTAATGATACTGAGTAGAGTGGGTAATGATACTGAGTAGAGTGGGTAATGACACTGAGTAGAGTGGGTAATGATACTGAGTAGAGTGGGTAATGATACTGAGTAGAGTGGGTAATGATACTGAGTAGAGTGGGTAATGATACTGAGTAGAGTGGGTAATGATACTGAGTAGAGTGGGTAATGATACTGAGTAGAGTGGGTAATGATACTGAGTAGAGTGGGTAATGATACTGAGTAGAGTGGGTAATGACACTGAGTAGAGTGGGTAATGATACTGAGTAGAGTGGGTAATGATACTGAGTAGAGTGGGTAATGATACTGAGTAGAGTGGGTAATGATACTGAGTAGAGTGGGTAATGATACTGAGTAGAGTGGGTAATGACACTGAGTAGAGTGGGTAATGACACTGAGTAGAGTGGGTAATGATACTGAGTAGAGTGGGTAATGATACTGAGTAGAGTGGGTAATGATACTGAGTAGAGTGGGTAATGATACTGAGTAGAGTGGGTAATGATACTGAGTAGAGTGGGTAATGATACTGAGTAGAGTGGGTAATGATACTGAGTAGAGTGGGTAATGATACTGAGTAGAGTGGGTAATGATACTGAGTAGAGTGGGTAATGACACTGAGTAGAGTGGGTAATGATACTGAGTAGAGTGGGTAATGATACTGAGTAGAGTGGATAATGATACTGAGTAGAGTGGGTAATGATACTGAGTAGAGTGGGTAATGATACTGAGTAGAGTGGGTAATGATACTGAGTAGAGTGGGTAATGATACTGAGTAGAGTGGGTAATGATACTGAGTAGAGTGGGTAATGATACTGAGTAGAGTGGGTAATGATACTGAGTAGAGTGGGTAATGATACTGAGTAGAGTGGGTAATGATACTGAGTAGAGTGGGTAATGACACTGAGTAGAGTGGGTAATGATACTGAGTAGAGTGGGTAATGATACTGAGTAGAGTGGGTAATGATACTGAGTAGAGTGGGTAATGATACTGAGTAGAGTGGGTAATGATACTGAGTAGAGTGGGTAATGATACTGAGTAGAGTGGGTAATGATACTGAGTAGAGTGGGTAATGATACTGAGTAGAGTGGGTAATGATACTGAGTAGAGTGGGTAATGATACTGAGTAGAGTGGGTAATGATACTGAGTAGAGTGGGTAATGATACTGAGTAGAGTGGGTAATGATACTGAGTAGAGTGGGTAATGATACTGAGTAGAGTGGGTAATGACACTGAGTAGAGTGGGTAATGATACTGAGTAGAGTGGGTAATGATACTGAGTAGAGTGGGTAATGATACTGAGTAGAGTGGGTAATGATACTGAGTAGAGTGGGTAATGATACTGAGTAGAGTGGGTAATGATACTGAGTAGAGTGGGTAATGATACTGAGTAGAGTGGGTAATGATACTGAGTAGAGTGGGTAATGATACTGAGTAGAGTGGGTAATGACACTGAGTAGAGTGGGTAATGATACTGAGTAGAGTGGGTAATGATACTGAGTAGAGTGGGTAATGATACTGAGTAGAGTGGGTAATGATACTGAGTAGAGTGGGTAATGATACTGAGTAGAGTGGGTAATGACACTGAGTAGAGTGGGTAATGATACTGAGTAGAGTGGGTAATGATACTGAGTAGAGTGGGTAATGATACTGAGTAGAGTGGGTAATGATACTGAGTAGAGTGGGTAATGATACTGAGTAGAGTGGGTAATGATACTGAGTAGAGTGGGTAATGATACTGAGTAGAGTGGGTAATGATACTGAGTAGAGTGGGTAATGATACTGAGTAGAGTGGGTAATGACACTGAGTAGAGTGGGTAATGATACTGAGTAGAGTGGGTAATGATACTGAGTAGAGTGGGTAATGATACTGAGTAGAGTGGGTAATGATACTGAGTAGAGTGGGTAATGACACTGAGTAGAGTGGGTAATGATACTGAGTAGAGTGGGTAATGACACTGAGTAGAGTGGGTAATGATACTGAGTAGAGTGGGTAATGATACTGAGTAGAGTGGGTAATGATACTGAGTAGAGTGGGTAATGATACTGAGTAGAGTGGGTAATGATACTGAGTAGAGTGGGTAATGACACTGAGTAGAGTGGGTAATGACACTGAGTAGAGTGGGTAATGATACTGAGTAGAGTGGGTAATGATACT